TGCTCGTTTCGCCTCCTCTTCTTTTCTCTTTTTTCTAAACTGAGCACCTGATGGCTTTGAATGTTTCTTGTTCATCTTCCATTGTTTTTAATTTTGCACTCCTGAACACCCATCCCCTAACATAGGTTCACCACAACATTACCTAATAGACCTACACTTAGTTCACAGATTCGCTTTGTTTATTTCTGGGACTTCGCACAACCTAGGAACAAATCATGAATACATAATGGGCTTGGATTTACAACATTATGAATGAAATGTGCTCTATTTGGAAGCAGCCTGTCCCCCTCCTCTGTCGACAGGTTGTGTGTGAGACTTTAAATCAACAAACTGTAAATTATACATTTTACATTTTTATTGATCCCCTTACCCCTAATCCTAAAGTGTATATTTATTTTCTTACTCTTCTTATATTTATTGTTTGTTTATGTAGCCGTTAAGACTGGTGGACCTAAATCTTCACCTCCAAGTCCGTTCACATACAGAAGGAAGGGGAGTGAGTGGGTCAGCGCTCAGGGCAAAGAAACTAAGCTGGCTTTGAACACACACCATTTATTTCCATTAAAAACAACCACAGCCAGAATCACAAATACAAGTTAAAATCCCCCTATATACAATAAAAAAAAGTGTCCTCAATACGCTAAAAACCCTGCCGGCAGAAATAACTGTACACTATTAAAACAAAGCTAAACAAATGTCTGGTGTTTTCGTGTTTGTTGGTTTGTTTTTGTTTTGTTTTATTTTGCGAGTTGGTTATTAGATGCTGCTCCAGCCAGCCAGTAAATCCCCTGCCAACCCGCCATCTCCTTCCTGTGCTGCAAGCAGCAGGTGCACCTCGCAAACAGTGGGCGCCCCTTACTCCCAGCAAATGGGCGGCAGAAAACTGATCGGTGCCTATGCCATCTCCAAAATGCGCTGGCTGATGTTGGGGCAGCATGAGTACGAGCAACTCTTTTGGTGGAGATGCCCATGATGCCGCCCCCACCATGATACCGCCCTGGGCAACCGCCCATGTCACCCTTATCAAAAACCGCTACTGGAGGTTGTCATAATTCATCCATGACAGGGTTAAATAACAATAATTGCAATGAAAATAACGTTGAAAGACCAGTGGGTGGCAGGGTATAGAGTGACACATGAGTGTCCAATGTAGTAGTTTATGTGCAAGTATACATTCAACACTGACACAAATACAAGGAAACAGTCTTTGAATAGCTGTTCACTGTAGTGACCTCTATGCGCGAAAGGGTTAATAATACCCTCTATATTATAATTTGATCTGTTTGCTCCATGTATAATTTTAACTACTTCCTTTATTTTATTTTATTGTATAAATGCCACAAGAAATTGTCTACCAGTCATATTAAACAATGCTGATCAGTCTTTTTTTTTTACCATTTTATTTATATGGAATCTTTTGGTTTTCTTTGCACTTCCCTTTCGTCTCCATGGATATTGTCCAAAATGTATTATCCAGAATGCAATCTAGAGCTGTTGATCCATCCATCTCCGACCCAATTTACTAAGGTACTGTATTATTTTATACATGTAACCTAAATGTGCTTTGGGTATGATACTTTCTTCTAGCTCTAGTGCATGTACTTACCCTGTCGTTACTCAGTACTTTGTAATGGCTAACAGCTAAACAACAATTCAGTCCAGGTTTGAGCTTGTTTGTGGAAATATGGAATAAATATGGAAGTCGTCTGGACAGTTGACATTTTGTTTTTATGAGAATATTAGTTATTTTTTGAGGATGCACTGAAAGCATGCAGTTATCCTGGAATATTTATTTACTTTAAAATAAATATAACTTAGTTCTTAGTATCCCACAAACAATGATACAGATATGACTTGTAATAAATACTTACTCTGGGCTGCATGAAAATGTCCAAGCAGTATTATCCAGCAAATAATTTTTCTTTCCATGATGGTTGCAGTTACTTCTCACTGCTCTCAGCACAGACTGTTTTTATATCTGATTGTGCATTGTACTTAGATCATGAAATGCTCCTCCCTCCACTATTCAAAGGAATGTTTAAGGATTTGTGACAGAGACAACGTTCATAGAAACTGATAGGTATGTGCACGGGAAAATACATATCTGTGTAATGTAGGACAAATTCATTTTTACTTTTTAATTATTTATTAATATTATCATACACTTACACTATGGGCCTTACACTATGCAGCATCACAGGGTGACAGTCCAGTTTCAACAGTTAATGTCACTACAATCTCTACAAGTTTAACTTAGTTTTTCATATCTGGTAATGTCTGATTTGTAGCGTCTTCATGATCTTATTAAGTAAAATTCTCATTCTCATTGTAGGCTATGAATGGAAGCACTCTGTAGGAGTACATCACTTAGTGTTTATGAGTCATAAGCAAAGCATTTCATTTGATTTTAATAAAGATACAGTTAATAACACAAAACAACAAATATAAATTGTTAATTGTAGATTAGAATTGTTCTTGTTGTCCACTGCACATTTTTTAATACACTTAGATGACGTTTTTTTCCTTTTAAGAAATATAAATAGCTCGTGTACATAAAGTGCCTTACATTGCATGTAGTAACTAAAACTTCATGAGGTAGGCAAACAGGTTTTTCATTATGTGTTGGACTTCCTCCTGAGAATGATTTTTACTCTGTGTGTGTGTGTGTGTGTGTGTGTGTGTGTGTGTGTGTGTGTGTGTGTGTGTGTGTGTGTGTGTGTAGTTGTTTTAGGGTTAGGGTTACAAGGTTATAGATAGGTTTAAGGTAAGTATGAAGGTTAGGCAATAATTTCTGATGGTTAACGTTATTGTAAGGGGCTAGGGAAAGCATTATGCCCATTCAATGTCCTGACTAAGGTGTGAAAATGAGAGCTGGTATGTTTTTCCAATGTGGAGGTACGTAAAGACGACAGAAGAGGTCTCAGTGTCTCACTCCAACTTTATTACTGGATTCACCAGAACTCCACATCCAAAAAGCGCCTAAATCTGTGAGTGGAGTCACCTGGTGGTCCGCCACAATATATACTGGTCAAAAGTTTTAGAACACCCTAATCTTTTCTGTTATTTATTGCAATTTAAGTAATCCAAGTCCAGTGAATAGCTTGAATGGTACAAGGTTAAGTAGTTAACTGCCAGAGATTAAAAAAATGTTAGGTTACCCAAAACTGAAAAATAATGTCCATCCATCCATCCATCCATTCGCTTCCGCTTCTCCTTTTCAGGGTCGCGGGGGGCGCTGGAGCCTATCCCAGCTGTCATAGGGCGAGAGGCGGGGTACACCCTGGACAGGTCACCAGTCTGTCGCAGGGCCAACACACAGGGACAGACAACCATTCACACTCTCATTCACTTGCACATTCACACCTAGTGACAATTTGGATTATCAATTAACCTATCCCCACAAGCTGCATGTCTTTGGACGGTGGGAGGAAGCCGGAGTACCCGGAGGGAACCCACGCAAACACGGGGAGAACATGCAAACTCCACACAGAAAGACCCTGGCCTGATGTTGGAATTGAACTCAGGACCTTCTTGCTGTGCGGCAACAGTGCTAACCACCGTGCCACCGTGCTGCCAGAAAAAAAATGAAATGAAAATGAAAAATAATGTACATTTTAAAATTATACAAAAAGCCCTTTTACAGGTAAAACAAAATGGGCTAACAATTTCAAGGTTTTATGCAGCAATGGAGGTTGAATAGTATTGTACTGCACAAAGTAGTGTGTCGCTACAAAAATGGTGGGAAAAGGGCAGTTAATAATGGAAGAGAGACAGACTATCATGACACTTAAAAATGTAGGTCTTTCCTACAGAGAAATTTCAAAGAAACTCAGGGTGTCAGTGAGTCCAGTTTCCTTCACCATGAAAAGGCACTCCGAAACTGGGGAAAACTCTGACAGGAAGAGGTCTGGAAGACCCAAAGCCACAACTGATTCGAGGACAATTTTCTGAGAGGTAACAGCTTGCATGATAGGCTGCTCACAGGACAACAGCTTCAGGCACAGCTTAGTAGTGGTTGTAGTAAGCAAGTCTCAGTTTCAACTGTGAAGAGAGTGAAGGCTTTGAGCTGCAGGTTTGATAGGGCGAGTTGCAGCAAGAAAGCCATTGCTAAGATGTCACAATAAGACAATGGCCATGAAACACCACCACTGGACTACTGAAGGCTGGAAAAAGGTATTATGGATTGATGAATCAAAATTTGAAATTTTTGGTTCATCGCGCTGGATCTCTGTACGCCGCCAAGTAGGCGAAAGGATGATTCTACAATGTGTGGCATCAACTGTCAAACATAGAGAAGAGAGTGTGATGGTCTGTGGCTGTTTTGCTGGATCCAGGATCAGTTTACCAGTCACTGAGTACAGGTCAGTTTTCAATTTTACATTAGTCCATTTTAAATGACCTTTGAATGCAACAGAGAATGCATAGAATGCAACAGCATTTCTGGATAATGTTAACCTGTTCTATTGTTTTGCACATGGTAGACATTTAACATACATTCATAGACATGGGGAACTGTGCTCACAGACAGGGATTTCTGAAAGTCTTTCATTCCTCAGGGGTCCTCTTATTCTCCAACATTCTGTTCAGCAATTCACAGCCCTACCTCTAAGACACCTCTGTTCCTATATATGCCATGGGGGAACACAGAAATTTTTCCATGCTGGGTATAGTTACTTTATTTATTTTGAAAACCCGGTATACACCAAACTCTTTAGAAGTTAGTGAAATTTAAAAAAAAAATGGATTGGGCAATAAAATCAACCTTTGCTTGCTTGAAGTACACAAGGCTCACATTAAATCAGGGGTCAAGTGAATTATTCTGCATAACAAATCAAAATGTCCATAATAAAGAAATCTGAATGTTCAAAGACTATTACAAATAGGGGCAAGATAAAATTTGCGTTAAGCGGTAAATATAAACACGAACTAAATAGCAGTTATCGCCATCGTTCCCATGTGGTTCTTGTTTCTCCCGACTGTTTCAGTGTGACACACACGGCGCATGCTCATTTGTCCACGACTCCTGGCTTACTAGTGAATTTTTTTTCAGCATTAGCTAAACTTTGAATACCTAAAACAACAATTTTCCTTGTGTTGCATGAACACCTAGTCCGTGTATGTGCAGTGCCGCAATATTGGGGCTTTTTATGAAGACAAACAAACTGCGGAAACAGTGTTAGTGCGGCTTTTTGCTGGTGGGTTTGCTAGCTAGCTAAACAACAGAGATTGGTTGTTAGCTAACTTACATACATTAAAGTGGACTTCTCAGTCTTTTTTGCAAATAATTAAACGTTTTTTTAAGTTTGAAAAAAATTGCAGTACTGTCTCAACCTCAAGGTAAGCTCTAAATTGTGCTGGCATGGGCATCGCTAAATGAGTGCTCGGCCGCTTCGGTATTTTTTGACTCGTACAATAATGTGAGTTCAGTCCCGTAAAAGCAGAGAATGGACAGAGACTTGTTGAGGCAATGTCTGACGTATCATGGACAATCCCTGTTCAACACGCTGAAATGTGAACAAACGGAAAATCCAGACTTCCAAGCGGTGGTGTCTGACCTCTGCAAAGCCACGTATGAGAGGTATGTCTGAGTTTATGAGCACCACGGCAGGCTGCTGCAGAATGCCAAAAGTCATAAGTACAGACAAAATGCTAGCGCATCATTATTTTCTCTTAAAGTGTTAGACAAAGATGATATTGCATATAGGTTGTGAATTAAACGCTCTGAAAACAAAAATGAGTGAATATCACAGTCTTATCGCCAGTATAATTTTACTGTTTAAATCTCCTATTGCTCGTCCAGCAGATTTTCAGTTAATAAGCTAACATCTGCCTAGAAATGGTGACGCTAATGAGGAATTTGCAACTTTTGCTTGAAAATTCTCTGAATTTAAAATGGCTTATAATTAAATTGCACAAGAAATATGCAGAAAAGGAGTTCCATTGCCAGAGATGTCTAAAATCAAGCACCTAGACATGCAGTCTGACTTTACAGACATTTGTCAAAGAATGAGTCATTATAAGGAGCTCACTGAACACATGTGGGGTACTGCAAGACCATGCCACTCCTGCAGCAAATCAGTTTATAAAATGTCTTCACTCCCAGGTTAGGTAGGAAGCAGACCATATGAACTTTGACAGGCAGCCATCGAGTCAAGTCACTTTGCAATTGCAATAAAAAAAACACACTATCAATATTTAGAACTATACATGCAATGTACACTCATAAAGAAATGCAGCCACAGATATAAAATTGCAAAAAATACGTGCTAGAAATGTAGCTGCACAAACTGATGAATGACCTCTTTTACATTTCAAATCAAGAAAGTCTGACCTGCAGCAGCCCCTCCACTCTGTTTGCAGTTGTGCTGGGTACAGTGATTAGTGCAGAAGAACTAAATTCATGTGAAACCATTAATTAAACTGAGCATGCAGTGCAGTAACACTTACCAGCGATGTGGAACTTTAAGTTTGTTAATAACAAATTGTATGACTTACTGAAACTTATAGTTGAAGTACATCAGTATAATTCAGCTTAGGGGGCACAGGGACTTTACTGGATGAGCTGTGAGCCCCACACTGCTCCTGAGTATTCTGTGATCAGCAGCTCATCAATTGCTGAGGCACATTGTGTCAAAAAAAAAATCCCCAACACTCTGCTGACCTGATTACTGCAGGGTTCCAAGTCTCTGGCATTAACATCAGTACATGAAAGGCACACCATGAGCTTCATGGCATGGGTTTCCATGGCCGAGCAACACCTGTAGGTATAATGTGTCAGTGGCGCACTACTTTTGTCCATGTAAGCATATGTTGTTTCCAGACATGTTTTTCCGCCCCAATCATTTGTGAATGGTGTAGTTAAACTAAAATACCATTGTATGAAAAGAGGTGCAAAAAGTACGCATCTGTTTGTGACTAGCTACTGCAGCTGTCATTGTAGAATAAAAATCAGTAGTGTAATACAATAACTCTCAATGAAGGTCTGTGAACAAAGAGCAGGAGTGTGTATTAATTCAACCTTTTTCTGTTGCATTACTTCATTTTCCTTTGCACCATTATACAAGAATTAATTTGTCATAGGTGAATTCAGTCCAGCTGATCTTACTGATCTTTCTTTTGTTGTTGTTCTGTGCAGTAGGTGTGAAGAGCAGAGCAACCCACTTGTGGAGCAGTTCATTGCCAGGAAGGCTGACATCCTGTTCAGTCCAGTATGGAGGACCACTGGTCTTCGAGGAGAGGAGCACGAGGAGGAGGAGGCTGTAGGTGTGTGTTGTTCATACTTGTGCGTGTAAATGAAGATGAGTATGACTTGCACATAGGCCCTATCTGATGTTGAGAAAAGTGTCTGTATTTTGTGACACACTGCATCACATCTGTCTTCGCTCTTCCAGAGCCCTATGCAGTTATGCCACCAATGGAGGTATTCATGGAGGTGTCGTATGAGGAGAGGCGATCCATGATTTACCGGGATTTGGAAAGAGGAGACATTGTGGTGGGGAGGATCAACAACATTAGAGAATACGGCTTCTTTCTCACTCTGTTTTGCACAGCAGGAGGTCTGAAAAGAGACATTGAGGACTTAGAGTTGTCGGTAGGTCAACAAGTTCAGCCTTTTGAATGTCCTTGAGTTATGTCATAAATCATCACTGTAGAAGCTGAACATTTGGGACTGTTGGCCAGTTGTTGATTAAAAACCGGCTGTGTAGCTCTGGGAATACCCGAGTGACTGCCAGTTCTTTCTTTGCGTGGAGCTTACATAAGAATACAGTCATGCTTAAAATTCATGTTATGAGTCCATGTGATGATATCTGTGCTGTAATCGTCATTTAGTCTTGTGCTTTACGGGACGTACAGGAGTTGCAGTGCCAAAAGATTTCTGCTTTTCATCTTCATGTCTGTTGTAAAAAAACACCTGCATATTTGTCATCAAGCCACCTCAACCTCAACAGAAAGCTTCCTGGAGAGTTTCTGGTGTCAGACTGTAAATGGGGCAAATGATGTAAAATTAAATTTGCTGCTCTGTCCACCTGAACTAAATCTGCCATCCACCTTGCATTTTACTATTGTTTCATAAAGGCACATCTTTCTTCACCCTTCAGGCTCTGTGTCATGTCAGAGAAATTCCCTCTACTGGCAGCCATGATGATCCCCTGGCGTACTACCAGATTGGGGACTTCATCAGAGGTTTGTGTCTAACACAACCAGAACACTGAGGTCCAGAATCATATACTGCAGTTCTTTTCAGGAACCTTTAAAACATTTTTTAATAATAGACTTATTAGACAGACAAAACCTGCATAAAGTATAATAATCTAGCTAATACCTTCACCACGGAAAATTGGCCTATGATAGTGTCTTTTTCCATTTGATGCTTTTTTGTGTCTCAACACAACCTATGTCTTAAAGTTTTAGTCTTTTATCCTATTTTAATTTTCAGGTTTGCAGTGCAGTTATAATCATAATGCTTGCTGCTTTTTGAATTCCATAGTGCTGCTTCGCAGTACTGTAATGGGATATGTAAAGAATGACGGTCTGATCTTTTCTTATTCTGTAGCTGGAGTGAAAGATATTGATCGCTACCAGGAGAAAATCACAGTGTCGCTCCATCAGGCCTGTCTTTCTCCGAGCTTGGAGCACATCAAACTTGGTGTCATTACCAAGGAGGAACTGCCTGTTCATTACAGGTAAAGAAAAACAACACGGATTGCTGAAAGAAGAAAAACAAACCTGCTTAGCTAGTTCGAGTGAATACTGTTGCATAGCATTGCATTAAGAAATGTCAAGCATTTGAACTAGTGTTTCATATCAAGCTTCAGTTGATTGTAGCTGCAGCAGACCATCTGTATTCGCAGTCACTGCTCATGTGAAATGTAAAGTTTGGGGATTCAATTTTTCTTTTTTATATTCATGCTTTTTTCAAGAATATGATGTATTTTGTAACACAAATGAGCGGGCTGATATGTAGCCTGAGCTTTAGTATAAAAGCTTAATCTGATATAAATATGTATTAATGCATTAACGTGTGGTTGCAGTGACTGCTCTCTCCTTAGTCGTAGTGTTCAGGCAGCCACTGACTCCAGTGAGACATATGAGCGTATACTGACAGGTTGCCATGGATACCACAACCCCTCTGTAGTGGACTACTTGCTGGAAAAGGTGGGAATTAGTGATACCCACCCACCGTCAATGATGCGAGGACTGCAGAGGTAAACTTTTAGTTGGTGCGATAACACAGTAATTCCCCTAATTTCATACAAATTTGCAAGCAGATTCATGCAATAATGGAAGTTTGGACATCTAGCAAGACTGTTAAATAGTGTGGTGTCTATGGTTCTTTTCTCCACAGTAAACTTTTCCAAGCAGAGGATTTTGCTTCTGCAATCAGGAAGAAACAGTCTGCATCCTGGGCCTTAAAGTGGTAATGTATTAGCTATCAACTTTGACCACAGAAAATGGATGGGATGTTGCATCTTTTTGTTTTTGGACCACTTATTCCCCCTGGCTTAGACTTCACAATAATACAAACCTGACTTGTATTTTGCTTGTGTGTTTTTCAAGTGTCCGTGCAGGGGTGGACCACTTCAAACATGGTCGCCATGTGGAAGCCATGAATGAATACAACAAAGCCTTGGAAATAGACATTAGTAATGTAGAAGCACTGGTGGCACGTGGAGCTCTGTGAGTCTGCTTTCAGTTCAAATGATGAGAACTGTTGTTGTATAACTCTGTCCTTGTTTGAGATATTCCTTGGTCTTTCATGACCCTGTAAACACCTAACTGGTTTAAATTACAAGAAATATATACAGTGTTTACAATAGTTTATTTATTGGATGCATCAAGACATTTTAAACGACTTTGGCAAGTTTCCTCATACCATTTCCCATACCAGAATGGAATGAGGAACAGTACTTAAGACACCACACCTGTTCATGTACTGACACTTGTTACCGAAACCTGGCATAGTCCTGGAAATGAGATCAATCTTTTTTATGTTTCTTTCACTTTGCACACAGGTATGCTAACAAAGGCAGCATCATGAAGGCAATAACAGACTTTGAACGAGCTCTGGAGAACTGTCCCGATCACCGCAACGCCAAGAAGTATCTGTGTCAGACACTAGTGGAGAGAGGAAAACAGTAAGCACTGCTTCACTTAGTAGGCAGATGTGAAATGAGAGCTTACAGTTCAGTAGTGATCCACTAGTTGAAAGACTCAGATCAGAGAGAAGTTTAAGAATGTTAATGAGAAGCTGCCAGCTCCACCACCTTTTTCTTGTTATAGTGCACAATGGGCCTGATATGTCAGTATGCAAATACTATTGATTTTAAATCCAGCTATGAAGAGCGATGTGCAAGGTAACTATAGACAGAACAACTTTGATTTTTCCCAAGGAGGAAACGAAGCTTTCTCTGGCCTGCTCCTTTTTCCCTGTTTAACCATTTCACAGCCTGATTATGGTGCACTGCTAGTGTTTATGAATAGAAGCTGCATAGAAGGACGAAGTTAGGAAAAGGTTCACAGGCTATTCTGAAACAGGTGAGCGAGCATCAGCTCAGCTGCTTTGTTCCCGTGAAAAAGGGAATAACATGTAAATAACATGTATTATCATTTACTCAAAGGATGTTTGTTTGTGCTTGCAGGCTTGAGGAACAGGAAAAGCTAGTAACAGCTGAAGGATTGTACAGAAGAGCTCTAGCTTTAGATGGCTCAAACTCTGAGGCACAGGAAGCCCTGCACAAGATCACAGACACTATACAGGTGAGCGGACACAACACACACACATGCATACACACACACACGCACACGTGCCTGAGGGGTTCAAAAAAGTTGGCAGGTATGCAGTGTGTGTATTTTAGGCTTAACTATTAAAGCACATGCAGAAATAATGGTCCCATCAAAGTTTAATTTTAAAATGGTGTTATTTCTGTGTGACTTCAGAAAAATTAATAAAAAAGGTGGAAAAAGTGAGCAGCTGCTTGTTGCTCTGACAACACAGAGAATGGGATGGTATGAGGAAAGACTAGTGTCTCGTAAAATTAGTTGACAAGTTCCCAGAACTGTATTTATGTGTGCTCTGCTTAAATATGTTTAACATGTTTTTTTTAACAAATATGTGTGGCTCTGTGTACTGACCACGAGAAAACAGGCACACTAAAGTTAGCAGCTAACCGGTGACCACTGGGCACTAAGCAGCTACAGATCCAGATATTTCTGATAGCAGTAAGAATTTTTCCTTGCTCAAAAGAGGCCTTTTGGGGTGTTTACGCACATGATCACAGTAGAATTCAGTTAAAAAAAAGAGTCAGTTTTTAAGCCCTCGGTATACCTGCTGCATTGGTTGCTTTGTCCTACGCTGGGAATGCCACTGACAGCCACATCCATTTCTGTTTGCTGTGGCAGTTCACGTAGCTGCTGTAGTATTAAACGATATCCTGAACGATAGGTGAAAAAACCTCTACATCCGCACTGACAAAGGAAGAGAAGAAGTGAAAACTGGAAGCAAAAGAATTGCTGAGGTTGTTTTTACACAAATAACTTCACATAAAAAATGTGAGGGAAATCTGTTTGTTTTATGTAACTGAAAAAACAAAACAAAACTGTCCAATATACTAGATTTTTAAATTTAGAACTGAAGAAGCTTCTTGGATGAGAGGTGAAACGTCTTCAAGCAACTTAAAGAAGTCCAGACGCTTTTCTTTGCAAGCTCCTTTGACTAGATTTTTAAATCCCCAAATATTAGTCTGGAAAATCCTCTATCGGTTTGGGCTGTGCTTTTCACTCCCATCAACTGTATGAAAATGTATTACATTCAAAGACTGAAGAAAGAACTGTGAATATTACAGCATTAGTGGAAACTTGACAGGTCAATTTGAAGTAGTTGATAAAAACGGGTGTTTGTAGTAATATTAATGAAG